GTTTGAAATAGTTCTTGGAAACTTTATCTAGCGTTCTTGGCAGCCTTGCACCACCTTAGCAAGGCTCGTTCTTATCAGAGACAATCAGTTTGAAGCAGCCTTTTAACTGGGAAGGAATGGAATTCATAAAGAATCATTAAAAGGTTTTGCTGTTACCTTGTTTTGCTGTTTCTTGTTTGTTTCCTTGGAACAAGGTTTGGGTCAGAACATCTGCACAATCTAGTATCTTCCTGACCAGCTCTTCATCTCACGGTATATCTTCATTTTTCCCCCAATATTGTTCGAAGATAACCCATGCTGCTGCTAAGACGAAGGTCCTTAATTTTGAATGACAGGTTCAAACCAGACCCTATCTATATGGAACTAAAATCAATTTCTATATCTGCAGGGTGCTGGAACCCAGATTTAAGATTCTAGGTTATGGGTTCAACTCACTTAGTTCAACAACTGCACAAATTCTTCCACGTAGCAGATCAACACTGAATATATCACACTGTGCCTGTTCAATGATGGGGAAATCAGGAGATGAGAGCAGATCGAATAAATACGGGTAGTTTTTGACTCATTCATTTACTGAACGTTTGAAGTTACAACGACATGGGAAAAAATGACTGATGACTGGTTTTTCACACTTACGACCGCTGGACAGGTGATCAAAATTCTGATCAATGAGGAAGCCAGAGTCACTTAACAATGGTTTTACTAATTTAACCACTGCAGTGGTTCACTTAATAATTGTGGCAAGAAAGCTCATAAAGCCACTTAACAAATGTCTCACTTAGTAACAGGAATTTTTGTGGTCAATTGTGGTTGTACATTGAGGATTACCTGTATTAAACTGGCACCCGACCTTTCAGGTGTATCCACAAAGAGGAAAGTCGATGAAAAATTCAAGATGGCACCACCAGTCCTCATACAAATCACCCTGCTACTTTCAAGAAAGAAAGTTAGGACTATATGAATCAAATAAGTGTGAGTTATTATGCATTAGGGCAATGGTGGCTCACTTTTTGGGGCTCCTGTGCCAAAAATTGTGCGCTCGCTCGCACACGCTCGGTCACGTGCCAGCACCCAGAAGGCAATGTGCACACCCCACACACCCCGTTCACATGCATGCGCAATCCCCCTGCCACCTCCTTACCTGCACTGCGCATGCATGCACCTTCCAGTTGATTTTCGGGTGTTTTTCAGCCTCCCAGAGGCTCGAGGGAAGCCTCTGCAGCCTTTGGAGGCTGAAAAATAAACCTGTTTCATCACTTTCGGCCTCCAAAGGTTGCAGCGGCTTCCCTCGAGCCTCTTGGAGCCGAAAAAGGCCCCCAAATTAGCTGGGAGGCATGTGCAGTGAGGTAAATTTGCCTGTGGCTCACGTGTCCGCCCAAATGGCTCTGCGTGCCACCTGTGGCATGTGTGCCAAAGGTTTGCCATCACGGCATTAGGGGGGGAAAACACACACTATCTATGGTGATTTAATACATTTTTTTTCTAAAAGGGTTTGTTTTTATTTTCTGGACTGGAAAAAAGAAAGAAAGATTCAAATGAAAACATGGTTAGAAAGAAGAGCTAACTTTTTGTATGAATGTAGAACACGGTTTTAATTAAATCACAAGGAAGCCGCAGGGACGTTCTATTTCAAGGATTTTTAAAAAAACAGGTGAATTTTTTTTCCTTTTTTTTAAAAAAAAATCTAATTTTCTGCATTCAGGATATCCAAGCTAATGTATCACTCCCTTCCTTAGAACAACACATTAAAATTCCAAAAAGGGGGAAAGCCCAGAGCGAGTAATTGTGGCTAAATTGAAAATAATCATAGCCTCTTTTTCAGTGCATGTCAGCCTTCTGTTATTTCCTTTTTTTTTTAACCCACAAGGATCTTTTTTATTTAAAAAAAAAAAAGTATTATTGTGCAAAGCAGAGTGGTGTTTGCAATTTTGTGATCCAACAATGCGATAGGGGTGGCACAATATCAAAATGAGTGTAGTAACTTTGCAATCTGGGGCAAATTTTTCACAAAGGTCAGTTTACAAGCATTTTGCTTTTCAAACCAATCCCTCTTCCCTTCCTTTGCTTTCAACACAATTCCATGGAAAGTGTTTGCACATATAAACACTAACTCATCTTAAATCTTAAACATTTAATATATTTTATTCCCCTTCTTGAGTAGATGTTGCTATGGTTAGTGGCAGCTGAGCTCTGTAAGGCTTATTCTATTCTCAGTTTCTGTGACTTTCAATCATATTAGTACAGGTAGACCCGGTTTTACAACAGTGACCATTCAAAGTTACAGCGGCATTGAAAAATGTGACTTATGACCGTTTTTTCACACTTACGACCATTGCAATATCCCTGTGGTCACGTGATCAAAATTCAGAGGCTTGGCAACTGGCATGTACTTATGACAGTTGCAGTGTCCTGGGGTCATGGGATTAAATTTTGCAAACTTCTGACCAGCAAAGTCAATGATTCACTTAACAACTGGTTCCACTGTAACTCTGAACAGTCATTAAGTGAATGGATGTAAGCTGAAGATTGAAATTGGCACTAGCCAAGAGGATAAAAGTTTAATTCGAATGGGTGAAGCAGGACGTTGGGGTTCTTAAAGAAACCCAGCGTGGAAACAAACTATTGATCTAGAGTATGGAGTCCAACTGTTTGGAGGAATGGAATTCAGATCTGATTCAGACACAATCATGAAGCCCCTGCAGATCGGTTAGCTTGTAATGGTTTAAAAGCTAGCAGAAGGAATTTAAGAGCCCCAAAATAGGAGATCCCCCAAAGTGCTTTTTTCAAAGAGCAACTGAACTTACTTGGGTTTTTTTTTCTGAATAAAATAGAATAGAACAAATATACTTTAGAATAGAAGTGAATAGAATAGAATAGACTGGAATGGAATGGAATGGAATGGAGTGGAATGAAATAGAATAAATAGAACAGAATAGAATGGAATGGAGTGGGGTGGGGTGGAGTGGAATAGAATAAATAGAATAGAATAGAATAGAATAGAATAGAATAGAATAGAATAGAA